AAAGAAGAAGAAAAAAAAGATTTGTTCACAAACAACTCTACCATCAACCACAAGTCAACAGGCTGACACCAAACAACACAAAGAACTGACTCATTTTAACACATACGGACCAACAGACAAGGACCAGCGTCTCATGCACACATGCAAATGCATGCCCACAGGGGAAATCACAGACACATTTGCACCGATTTGTTTTCATCCAAGAATCACAAGGACACATTCACACAGTACATATAGACACACACACTCATATATACAGCTAGTCACAGATCCAGTTCCTTACATGTTGGACATGGAATAAAGGGAGGTGGATCTGCTGGAGTTTGAGGAGCTGAGGAGATCAGAAACCACAGACAAACTTCCTTTCCTTGGTAGAGAGAAAACACACGCACATCTCGCATGGGTCAAAGCAAAGGTTAAGAGGTAGAAAAGGAAGTGAATGAGTTCAGAAATGACAAGAATATGATGAGCTGAGAGAGAGTGGATGAGGACACAGAAAGACTTGGCAGCTTGAGGCCAAACAACATTCATAATGTCAGACAACTGAACATTCATACTGACAAACAGTCTCATGAAGAAGTACAGCTCTTGTGTTCAGGAACAGAAAGAGGAAGACTCATTCATTAGATTAATCATCCATAGTGACGCACAGGGGGGGGTTTAGCTATTAAATATATAAGAACTGTAACATATGATTACTTGGTTAATATGTGATCTTTTAAGGGCGGCAATTCATTGATTAATCTATTGCTTACTGTTTTAAATAAAATTATTATTGATTTATTTTGTTAAAAATAGTGAGAAATACCAGGAACAGTAGAGCTAAACTAGTTGTTTTAAATACATTCATTTAATAGTGGATAAATAAGTGAACATATTTGGGTTTGGGGGATCAGATGCCTGTTTGAGCTCTTAGAATTTGTGATGTGTATTTTACAATATTTTTTATGTAGTTACTTGTTTTTCGACAAACAGCAACAGGGCAGCAAAGCACTGCATTAGTGAAAATGAATCCAGCAAATATTTAGCATCAAAATTGCTGTGGATTAATTTTCTGTCAAGTTACTAATTTATTTATTGTTTAAGTAGAAAATGAACCAGCCTGAATGGCGCTGAAAGCTTTTAGGTATAGATAAAACCATTTTTGTTCCCATTATAAAAAAACCTTTAATGTATGTTTAGCCTACATGGCCTTGTGTATAGCACTGACTAAATAAATTAACAGTTTTTTTGTGTTTTAAAGTGAATACCTGGATATTGACTGAGGCATCTTGGAGGCTGCAGCTGAGTCTTTGTCGCTCCAGTCTTTGCTGCTGAGTGGGTCAGACACGGGGTCACTCATCTGGGTTTTAGTGTCTAGTCCAACTCCTACTTCTTCACCCCCAGCCAACCCATCCACTCCCGCCTCACCCCTGTCATCTGAACTCCACTTCCCAGAGTTCTTAGCTGAAGTCCTCTCCTCCAGTGAGGATTTGTGATTTGAGTCAGGACGTGTAGTTGAAGAGGAAGTGGGGACGAGAGGGGCAGGACCATGCGTGGGTCCACCCTCCGAGCCTTCACCACATAACAGTTGGTCCACTGTGCATCCCCCTTTGGCTGCTCCTCCTTCAGACCCAGATCCAGCTCCTTCACTCCCCTTCTCCGCCCCGTCCCCTGCATCGC